TTTTCTCAATTAACTAAATTAACTAAGAAAGCAACTTTAAACAATTGGTTTTTGGATCCATAGAATTGATTTAAATGGAACTAAATATAATGAAAATCCAATTCTCATTAAAGAGACAAAACAATTTTTGTTCTCATTCTATTTGGGCCATTTTGCAAATACACAAACTTTTGGGCCATAATACAAATACACAAAAGTATCAAAACTTTATTTAATTGCACAAAAGCCCCCCACTAGAGGGGTGGCCGGCCATTCATAGATATATTGAGTTTTTTGATACAATAAAATTTTGTAAGTGGATTTTGGTGGGTGAGATTAAAGATAGTGGGGTTGGTTTGAAAAGAAAATATACCTTTGATATAATTAAAACCATTTAATCATTTCTTACCAACAAACATCATCCATTAACTATTATTCAAAAAATATATCTTTGACATAATCATCACCCATCAACTAATAATCAAAACTTTATGTAAAACATAAAACTTTTGAATCAAAACTTCAAAACTTTTTGTTCTTGATAAGAACTTCAAGAAATATGAAGAACATACATGAAAACTCATAATAGCACCATGGATGTTTTCTTCCATCAAAACTCAAATTTTCACAACTCAAAAGAGGGTTATTATCCTAGGGTACTTAGGGGTTCCAAAAAGCACTTTAAAACCATTTTAACAAGCCTAACATGAACCCAAAAAATCACCCTTTGGATTTGGCCGAAATTCCCAAAACACTTGGCACCAACTTTTAGTTCCATTATTCATGCTTTAATGAAATACATCTACAACATTTGAGATGCTAAATTTTCAAGTAAAATTTATATTCAAAGCAAGAACAAAGCTTGTAACATTTACAACACTTAAATCACAAAATATGAAAAAATCACAAAACCCAAAAGGATCCACCATAAACTAGGCCTAGGCTCTTGATACCACTTGAAGGAAAAATTTTGTCCTAGCTAAGAACATGTAAGAACATTTGAATACATATGCAAACTAATAACTCTTTAAAGTAGGCATGCATTCAAAAACAATTCATAAAACCCATGACTTTCAAAGCCTAGTATATGGTGAACCATAAGACTCTTTAACAAAATTAAAGAGAATAAGAATTTAGAGATTCTTTACCCTTGAAGCTCATCCTTGATTACACAAGGGATTCACCCAAGTGGAGGGCCTTCAAGTCACCTCCTTGCTCCTTGAATCTTCCTTGTGATTTCCTCCCTTTTAGTGCTCCTTTTCTTCTTTGAGGATTTGAGGATTTGTTCTCCAAAACACCAAAAGTTTGGTGTCTCTAAGTCTCCACACCAAAGATCTTGTTTGAAGATGAAATGGATGACTTAGGTAAGAAAGATTGCTAGATGTTCCTCACCTAAGGTAATGAGAGAATAGGTTTCACCCAAATTCAATTAGAAACCCTTAGGATGAAATGGCTATAAAGATGTCTTTATACCACCTCACAATGGAGTGGCAAACTTGCAATTAAGCCAAGTTCACTACCCTCCACCCTTATGGCCGGCCATTAGTTGTTATTGGGCCTAATTGCCCATTTTGTTTTAGTTGTCATACAACTTAAACATAATGGGCCTTGTGGCCCAAAACGTTTTTGTGCCCCGAAGCCCAAAACTAACTTAAACGCCCAATACGAACGTTTCGTATAATTAATTAACTATTTAATTAATCTTGACCATTCTTCAATTAAACCATTTAATTGCATATCCATTTCATATAATTTCTTCACTTATATCTTTACTCGGTGTACGATCCATTAGGTTCCAATTAGCGAGGCAGTGGGCGATGTTACTCTTAACTATCGATTGTGAATTGAAACCACATTTCAATTCTCCCTTAAATTAGTGTTTGCTAATCTTTAGGGCTTCCACAAACCATGGGTGACGCCTAGCAGCATGTCATGGTTACCCAAGCTAAGTAGAAGTGGTTGGAGAACCTATCCAGTTACAACTACAATGCAATACGGTCCTTCTCTAATACAATACTCTTAATCACATTGTTTAAGTGATAGTTTGTTTCATGTCTACTATCCAATGTGATACTTCTTTATATGATTCAATCGAATAAGATTTGGAACATCTTCCTTAGTCATATTCATATGCTTTGGCCAAAGACTCTCGAATCATATCTTAGAGTATTCTCCTTCCATCATGGAAGGTTAGAGATCCCTTGTTGTACATTCATATGCCTACATGACTAGATAGCTTGACCCCAACAATGCCGTGGACACTCCAATGGAATGCCGTTGACATAATCAAAGATCAAGGACCTAACCATTAGACATCAATGATGCCTCAGGTCAAAGGACTACTTTGCATATTGCAACTATTGAGTTCTTACATGACATGTATGTTCGAACTCTTGTTTGATCGTAGTTCAGTGTACTCGATTACTCTTTCGAGCACCTATGTGTTTGCCTTAGTGTCCAACACCAAATGACTTGAGACTAGTTCATACTCACGCTTGAGTCGACATAACACATACTAACCTTAGCGGATTGTCAATGCCCAATTGGCAATCCTATGGCTAGGAACGTTTTAGGAATGAACATAAGAGAAAGGTCTCGTTAATTTAACTAACTTAAATCACTTGTCTCTTAGATCAAATACATTCCTTGGATTCCCTTATTGCTTAAACACAAGATACTATAAATAGTGATTAACAATAAGCTTTGCCCTTCTATTAAACATATAAAAGTTTAACACAATAAGTATTCCAAAAAGCTATTACATCAAATGAGTGGCTTTGTGGGCATACTTCCAACACTTATGAGCCTGTCTAACTCGGGCCGAGCCTATAATCATACTCGGCCCAAATCTGTTATTTTGGGTCCAAACAGATCCATAACTGTCTATTTTTTAGTTCTTTCATTCAAATATTATACTCACAAAAAATGAGACAAATCCAAGACTATTAAGATATGTACTTGTAATCAAGAATATAGACGAGCATGGTACTTTAAAGGACACACTAAGAAGATAAGAACGAGGGCACATCAATGTATGTGATACTCAAAATATAAGGTAGTATAACTAGTTCACCTGATATCCAACATGGTCGTGTTCACACAAATTATTGTCATATGCACGAGTAGCTGGTTTTCAATGGTGGTTGGGGAGTAATTTACCATTTTGGCTTAATGATGAGCTTATTTCCATTATATGAAGCCGCGGATCCTCATTGAATAAAAATTCTCAGTTTGTGTTTTTGTGGAAAAAAATACAAGAGCTTTGATAAATAAAATGATTTATTTGTTTAGCAAAAAGTAAAGAAATTAATTTGTCAACGTAGGGTAGTTTATGTTCTTGGAGTTTGAAGTTTAATTATCGGCGAGCCGCATTAGTTGACTGCTGAAGGCCAAGCATGCAAAACAGCTAGGTCAGGGCAATAATAATGCTCTCAAATACTACTCTACTCTACTGCTTAGTGCTTAATGATATTCCTGTTCACGCCCAGTTCCACCTTCCAAGCTCTCATCATCTTCCTCCAACCTCACAACTCCCAAAGCCCCGCCACCCGTGTCCGTTCTCACTCGATCCACACTAAATCTTAGTAAGTTTATCGATGCATGCGGTAAGTACTTTTTACTAACGAGCTCTTAGTCTAAGGAATTTATTTATTCCGATGGCAGAATATAACACAAGTTCGAATCTCCAATCTTTACTTTTTCAAATTTGAGAAAATACATGAATTTCTAGCCATTTGCTTCGGCTTGATTTGTATCGAATTGAGGAGTTGGCTGGAAATTTGATTTCGAGCATTGTGCAGTGCAAGAGGGCTTGTAACTCCTGGTATAGTAAGTATTTAGTCGAACATCTTCTGCCAAAGTTCGGTTCTCTATTCTCTTTTCGTTTCATTTGATAACCTCCAAGAAAGAAAGAAAACATTTTCTTATGAATTTACATATAACACATGGTGCCTCTAAGACCTCGCTGGATATAAAAATTCATTGCACAATACGAAGAAAATAATATATGACAAGACTACCGTAATATTCTAGATCATAATACACGATCATGATACACGACATAACTATAGTAATATAGTATCATGTTATGTGAGTTGTTCTCCCTCAATTATTACAAACTTAAACGGTTTTTGAAAAAATAATCAAAGAGCTTGTCGTACACATACAAAAACCAAAAACCTCAAAAAGTACAAAGAAAAGAAAAAATTTCATTGAACCATACTAAGAAAATAATACATGACATGACTACGGTAATATTCTAGATGATTAATGACCATGATACAAGATATAACTATGGTAATATTATATCGCGTCATGTGAGTTATTCTGCCTCAATTAGTACAATCTTAAACTGTCTTTGAGAAAATAATCAAGAATTTATCGTACACATGCAAAAAACAAAAATCTTTAAAAATAAATAAATAAAAGAAGAAAAGAACTTGATAAAGCAAAATATCCACTACTGGAATGTCCTTAAGTAATCAATAAAGGTTACAGTAGACAATTAATTAACTCTAATTACGATCAACAGCTACTATTTATATACTACAATACACATTAATTAATAGTTCAATATGAATCCTTTTGTTTTTTTTTATTTTTGTGTTATGGATTAATTAAAGGCAAATCTTGGGAGTGTGGTGTATGCTCACCACCTTATTTATCATCATTAGATGAGTTTGAATTTTAAGATTTGTACTTATCCACTACACGAATCTCGAAATTCAAACTCATTTAACGATGATAAATATGATGGTGAGTATACACCACATTAAATAGTGGTAAGCAAAAATACTTCCCCAAATCTTGGGGTCACCTCAAACTGAATTCAGCAGTTTCAGACAAACTAATTAATCCAATAATGGCAGAAATTATATGTCCTTCAAATTAATAATTAATGTTAATTAACAATATACCACGTCATCATTGTCACGGTGGCCCCCTCTCCAGCTTGAACTTTGCATGCACGCGCTACCCTCCCCTCCCCTTGTTATTTATAAGACCGTGTGAAAAAGGAAACAGACTCGCTCAGTTCCTCTCTCTCTCTCTCTCTCTCGCATCTTTGCTTTGCTTTGTGCTGTGTTTTCTCTGTTTCTAGCAGCAGGCGTGGCCTCTGGTCTTCATTACTCTCTCTATAACCCATGCTTTGTTTCTTTCTTCTTTTATTCTCTGACACAGAGACACACAGACACAGCGATCGTCACCATCATGAGAGAGCAAAAGCAGACCAAAGCTCGACTCTCTGTCTTCAAATTCTCGTCCCATTAATCATCTCAATCCCCCCCCCCCTCTCTCTCTCTCTCTCTCTCTATACCCAGCAGACAGAACCGAGAGAGGTCCATAATTAAACATCATTGAAAACCCAGTACAACTGTTCCCCAATTCTGTACTTTGAACCACTATAAAACTAGACAAAAATGGAGAGGTGGGATATCAAATCACTCCCGAAAAACAGAGAAGGCCGCTCCAACCGACACAGCAGAGACAACCCATCTTTCTCTTCCACCCTCCTCGACTCCATTTACCGTTCCATCGACGAACCCACTGTCGGCGGCGATGAAGTGGTTTCGATGAGAGAAGAACAGCGCCACCTCATTTTCTACAAAGAAACCATGAAGAAAAAACAGAGCGCCGCCGCCGCCACCACTACCAGCGGCCGACTAGGCCATGGACACTACAAAGAAGACCAGGAGCGTGAAATAGCGAGCCTCCGACGAGCCTGCTTGGTCGAGAAATGGATGGAGAAGAAGGCAGCTGAGAAGTCCGTACCTGTGCGACGAAATTCCATGGCGGATTTCCAGACGACAAAGTCTAGATACAGTCACCAGAACGAGTTCCTGACGAATTCTAGTTCCAGTTCTTCAGATTCCAGTGGTGGGTTTTCTTCGTCGGAGTCGGACTCCATGTACGGATCAAAATCGAGGTCCTCATCGTCATGCTACAGCATGCCCAGGCCGAAGCCAATTCGAACCAGCCTTTCGTCAGAAAAGGTTCCATTTGACGATCACCAGAGAAATTACCATCACAATTCACAGAAGAAGCACGAGAATGGGTTCGTGAAGACGAAATCAAAAGCGCTGAAGATTTACGGCGATTTGAAGAAGGTGAAGCAGCCGATTTCGCCAGGTGGTCGGCTAGCCAGTTTTCTCAATTCTCTGTTCAATGCAGGGCACGTGAAGAAGTCCAAAATTGACGATTTGGGTGCGGAGAGAAAATCGTCACCAAATTCGGGACAAATGGGGTACTCAAACCCGAGTAGTAGTTGTTCGTCAGCCTCTTCGTTTTCAAGGTCTTGCTTGCGAAAAGCGCCTCTTTCGAGAAGCGAGTTGAGTGGCATCAGCAGCAATGGTGATGCCGCGAAGAGGTCGGTGAGGTTTTGCCCTGTAAGTGTGATTGTGGATGAGGATTGCCGCCCGTGCGGACAAAAGACTCTACTTGAAGCACAGTCGGGTTTAATGGCCGCAGCTAAAGCTGCTACGGCCATTAAACCACCAACAAATGAAGATGTTGGACTTGAGTGTTGCGTAATGGATGTTGATGAAGACGATGACCATGGCCGAAGAATTGAGGAAGTTGCGAGAGATTACTTGATGAAGAATTATCAGAAGAAGCATGATGAGGATGATGAGGATGACGATGCAGAGAGCTATGCAAGTTCTGATCTCTTTGAGTTGGATACTGCTGGGGTTGAAGAAAGGTACCGTGAAGAATTGCCTGTGTACGAGACTACCTTTTTCGACAGAAATCGAGCCATTGCTAATGCTTTGATCTTGTAATTCCCGTAAGGGGGTAAAGGAAAGGAGTTGGGGAAAATTTAAATTAGGCTTTTTAAAGTAAATGGTTTGGGGGTTTACATGAGAAAATAAAATTAATCAATTTCTCTCTTTCTTGCAGTAATTCTTACATCTCATTTCATTTTTCATATCATGTTTTTCTTTGAAGGGTAGAAAGTATATTTGGTTAATGATGTTTGTGCACAATCAAGAAACTTGGTTACATCTTATAGTTTCAGTGGTAGAACACTTTATTAGTTCGATTTAAAATACTACAGAAGATTGAGAGATGAAGAACGTTCACACCATAAACTGTAAAAGCAGTAAAGAGATTTAGATGACGTAGTTAAAGGGCTGGGCAGATTTTCTACCGATACTATCTTCATGCACTACATAGATATATATGGTATGATCCGGAAGGACTTATAGTCAAAAAGCTTAATCTTGTTAATCACCTTTTTATTTTTTATTTATACACTTTTATATAAAATAAAACGTGATTCTTAATTAATTTGGTTATAATATTGATTAAAGTTATGGATGGGAGTGTGATTCTCATTGGCGGCGTGGATTTACCGGCAGTAAAATGAGTTGAATGATGAGCTCCTGGGAAAGAAAAGAGTGAAGTAGATGTGTGGTCTCCAAAGCTGTCGACAAAGGATCTAATTTTTTATCTCGTCGATCTATATGCCTTGATGTCAAATGCGGTTGGCTTTTGAGCTGAAGACATTTTCTCAATAAAGCATTTCAAAGATATTTCCATGTATATATCTATTGAGTAAATTAGGAAGACCAAAAAATTTAAATTAAATTTGTAAACTAAATAATGTGGTGATCGATAATTAGTTTATTATTTCAGTGTTGATTAACGTGCTTATTTTCTATTAGTGACACATTATTTATTTTGCAAATTTGATTTAAAAATTGGGAACTTTGACGAAAAACTTTCGGTATTATTCACTTTAATGAAAAGTCACATTTTTATACTAAAAAGTCAATCCTGGTACTATTCATTTTACCCTTTATTTTATCCTTATTGTTAAAACTCAAAGTTTTCAAGCCATTTTCATTTGTTTTCCTTTAAAAATTTAATCTCTCTAGTATTATCCATGTCTAAAACACTGCCCGTAAACTTCACTGTCAAACCAACATGCAATATATCAACCTATATAAAGCCATATATTTTTTGAGAAATTAGCTATAATAGAAGGATTTCAAACATAAGGTGCTAAAATAAGAAACTTAAAACTTTGCAGGTATAGAAATTTTAAAAGCATGAAAAGTCCAAAACGCCCATACTTATAAACTTTTTATTCATTATTATTCTCACTTTCTTGAGTTTCCTTCCTTTCTCTCTCTCTTCTCTCTCAGTCTGCCGCTTGACCTACACTCCAAAAAAAAAGAAAAAAAACTTGCCAAACGAAACTATTTTGTCGGGTTAAACAAGATTTTGTCGCCTAACATTTTAGGCTACGAATCTCCGTCGAGAAAAGACGGTTGTGTAAAAGCCATTGCCTAAAGGATAAATTAGATATTCACCGAGCGAACTTTGTTGATCCGACGAAACAAGGCCACAGGGTAAAGTACTGTTGACCGACCTTTACCTGACGAACTTGTCTTGACCAACGGCATCTTCGTCGCGTTTGTGAAAAAAAGTTTAATTTAAATAACAAAAAAATCCAATAAAAGTTTGCTCAACAACATTGTTCGTCGGATAAAGCCGTTAAATATTTATTTTAATATTGGAAGTTTAAAAAATATTTAATTTTGTTTATTTATTTAATTCTAATTATATTAATCTAAAAAGTAAAAATAAATCACAATTCAAAAAATTTGTTTAATTATATTAAAAATAAAATATTCGTACAATGTTATGTAACAAAAACTAAACTAATTAAATACAACTACTAGGGTAGTTGGTGAGATGGCTGAGGGTTGCTTCGAGGCTCGGGAATCCGAACGCCAAAAGCTGCTATAGCATGGGCTATCCTAGCAATGTATTAACGCACAGCTTCTCAGTCACGAGCAGCAGCTTCTCCGTCGCGAGCAACTTCTTCTCTTCGGCAACGCAACTTCTTCTCTTTGGTGCACTAGCTTCATCTCCAACTGTTGCAGTCTAGAAGACGTCCCAGTTGGAGGATGAGAGCAAGATGAAGGAAAAGACCCCCCGCCGAGGTCTCGAACCTGACTCGCTCCTAGGCTGTTGAATTCTTTGCCTTTCTATTGGCCAACCTTGTGAATCAACAATTGTAGAGATACCTCTAGATCAGGTGTCAGCTCCTCTAATGTCTGGTTGCTAATGGGAAAGGTTGGCAAGGTACTCGTCTTTCTTCTGCGACATAGAAGCCTACAAAAATATCGTAACCGACTTGGTTGTTGTCAGTGATCTGGTTGCAATAATTGGCATGCGTAACACCCAAGCTTCTACTTTCGGAAAATGTGAATCATTCGCTCGCCATTCCTCAACCCGGTAAGATAGGGTCGAGAAACACAACACTAATGCTAAGTCTAGGTACAATACATGAACAAGGTTTTTTCACTTTGGCTTGTTTGATTTTAGTTTCGTAAGGCAAGGAAAAAGGAAACTGATGTTTTTATATATGTTATTTGGTAAGAAAAAGAATAAGACAACAACAACAAGACACACATATATGTTGTTGGCTTGATTTTTTTTCTTTTTTTGTGTGTTATTGTTGGCATCGTCTCTCCATGATTGGCGCTTAGAATCGCGGCAAGTGCTTCAGATCAAAATGCAAAATGTCAAAAGACACACAAGCTTTAACAGTTGTGTTTCGAACCAGTTACGCACACTTTAGAAGAAAAAAAATAAAGGGAACTTTAATAAAAAGTTTTCAATACTATTTACTTTAACTAAAAACCACATTTTTACAATAAAAAGTCAATCCTGATACTATTACCTTTACCCTTTATTTTGTCATTTTCGTTAAAATTCAAAATTTTCAAACCATTTTCATTAGTTTTCTTAAAAATAAAAATATACTCTGGTACTTCACTTAAACAGAAGGTGGTTCGAGGAAAAGTTTAAAGATGGACACACCTTTATAGGTTGCCACAACTTTCTTTGAATTGAATATGCAAAACACATAGGAAAATATTTGGAAGATGTGAGAATTTGGTTGCTGAGAATTATTGGGAAAGAATTAACAATTAAGTTAACCTATAATCGTAATTTAATATTACAGTTTAGTGGTATTTTTTGAACCACATTAGATAGATTATACTGCTTGTTAAAAAAAAAAAAAAAAAAAAAGTTAACCTATAGTTTTATTTTAGAGAATTTTAACGAAAAGCTCCCGGTACTGTTCACTTTAACAAAAAATCATATGTTTACACTAAAAAGTTAATTATGGTACTATTTACTTTACCTTTTATTTTGTCTTTATCTTTAAAACTCAAAATTTTTAAATCATTTTCATTAACTTTTCTTTTATTTTATGCATCTACACACACATGCGTTTAGATATATATATTCTAAGAGACTTGTGAGGACCACAAATATCATAACAGTTTGACATGCTAAATAAATTATCATGGCATCATTCTTAACTAAATTGTTTAAGGACACAATTCAAAGCTAACTTGGACTGTAGGAAAAGAAAAGGCTACTCTATGGTCGAAAGTGGTATAGGCTGAAATGGCTATACATAGTTTGAAAAAATAAAAAAAAATTAATGAAAATGATTTGAAAATTTTGAGTTTTAATAATAAGAATAAAATAAAATGTAAAGTGAATAGTACCATGATTGACATTTTAATGTAAAAATGTAAGTTTTCGTTCAAGTGAACAGTACCAAAATTTTTTCGATAAAGTTTCCTTAAAAAAATGGTTAGGAGTGGGAATATAATTTGGTATAATTGATACGTGTATTTTAAATTTGGTTAGTGCTTGTGGATTCAAGTGTACGGAATCAATTGTTGATTCTTAATTGATATAAATTTAAAATTATTTTATATTTATTTATAGTTCAATTGCTTAAGAACATCAAAATTTATGCTCGTTCGTGATCTCAAATGTATTAAGGGAACTTTAACGAAAAGTTTACAGTACTATTCATTTTAACGAAAAATCATATTTTTACACTAAAAAGTCAATCCTGGTACTATTCACTTTACTTTTTATTTTGTCATTTTCGTTAAAACTCAAAGTTTTCAAGTGATTTTCATTTGTTTTCTCATGTACAACAAACCTACTAATTAAGATTTGAAATATTTAATATCCATTATGTTATATTCTAATTATCAATTTTTTAAATAGGTTAATATAATTTGAGCTAGTAAAGCACTATCTCATTAAGATTGAAGAAATATATTCTGTTCATGAAATATAACATTAATTTTATTTTGTTTCTCTTATTTGGAATAAGGAGAAGACGGTAATTGAGCTTTTTATTTAAAAAAAAAAAAAAAAAAAGGGACTAGCAGGTAGTTTGTTACAACAGTTCATCATTCTGGAGATTGAGAAGACTTACATATGCATTTCAACCTCCCCCTGGCTACCATCGTGCAATTTACTAGTGGCAAGAATCAAATCAAGACGTGCTGTGTGAAATACGGACGTGGAATTTGTCCCCAGCTACTGTACCATCTCGTGGTGATTGGTAGTTGAGTTTTTTGACAATGTATTTGTGGGAATAAGTGGTTTATTTTGTATTTTGTATGTATCAAATGGCAATGTTGCATCCATCCTATGGTTGGTGAGGTAGGAGAAGTTGTTTTCAATGGTACCACTAGAACGATGGTGGGTTATGAGACCACCGACCCATCCATGAGTTGACCAATTTTTGTTGGATATTAACCCTAATCATGTTTGTAAATCTCATCCCCCGTTAATTTATTCCAAACCTTTCCCGCTCTGACCATTATCCTTTCAGCTGGTATATATATACAATGTATAATGAATAATGAATATTTTCTCGGTTAGCAGGAATTCTTACTAAAAAAATTCTTAGTTTACAGAACCTTATGCTTATTATTAAAACTAGTTATATTTATAAATCATTCTGTAAAGATTATCACTATAGAAAATTAATTAAAACTCTTACGCTATATTTGGATGAGGGAAATAAACTTAGAATTTGGATAAAAGTCAAAATTTATAAATTGACATTC